ATGTACAGCTTGATGCTTCATAGGAGGAAATTGCATGTAAGGGATCACACTGAATACTTACTTAAGAAGTAAGGGGACTCTAAAGTGATTTCTTACATAAATGCAGTTTTAGACATTTAACTTGTATGTCTTTAATGTTTTTATAAAAGCTGAAGTCACCCTTTTTCCTTAATCTTTCTTTCAGTGCCTGTTTCTCAGCTTGAGAATGAAGCCTGTAACAGTGGCAGGCACATGGTAGATGTTTAGTAAACAGGTGGTGGGGGCTCCACCCTGTTCAGATGGAGGGCAGGGTTACTGTGCAAGGAGATGCTCAATGAGGGGTCAACAAGTGAAGAAGACCATGTCCTTGCCCTCGGGAGCATCTCTAGCAGGAGAGAAACAGAGAGCAGTGTGGAAATGGGCCATGCCAAGTACACAGACATGGGCTGTAGCTCTTCAGGGAGGGATACACCAAAGCGGAAGCACAACTGGAAACTGCGGCTTTGTGTGAAAGTCACACAGGGAGGCCAGGTAGCTCTGCGAAGGAAGCTGTAATAAGGACAGAGAGCTCTGAGTTCTAGTCTTCCACCACCAGCGGAGAAACACTGAGCAAATCCTCTTAGCTTTCTTCTGTCTCTAGCCTCAGTTTTTTCTGTCTATATTGTGAATTTTGACTAAAATCCACTGGTTTTGTAAATATTGTGGTGTAACACCTGTGTTTGGTTTATCTTCACAGAAGATACGTCCTATTTTTTTTTTAGTTACTGTTGAGTAACAAATATCCTATTTTTGGTTACTATTAAGGAATGTAATAGTAATTTATGAAGTATATACTTTGCATAGTGACTTCAATCAGATAAATGAAATAAGGTTAACTGATTAGTTTAGACATATATTTATATTTATATTTCTTTGTTCTTTGACACATGTGCAATATCAAACATGTAACAATTTTAGGCTATTATGAGTTTTTATAATGAGCATTTATGACTTTTATAGTAAGGGGGAAACCCAGCAATGGTGCCTGAGTACACATGTCCTTTGCTGCTTCCATGACTGGCTGGCTTTTCTCAGACACTTTTGAAAGCATCTAGATGTGATCCTTTGAAGTTTTACTTGGGAAGCAAAGAATTGGCCTTTGTTTTTTTGCCTCTAAAGGTTTTTATTCTCTTTCCCATTAAAACAACTTAAAGTCTATTACTGGTCTCCAGTCAGTGTTTAGACTATTAGTAGATTATCAGTCTAGACGCATCTAGCTAACTTGTCTTCCTTTTTTTAACCTGGAAGTGAGAAACTGCTCATTAACTAAATTTTAGCCTAGCATATCTGAACACTTCAAAAATACAATGTGTAGCATGTGCGCTAATGCCCTTTGAAAGAAACCGAATTTTTTGAAGATAGCTGTGCTGAATTAAAAGAAAACTCTGTGTTAAGTTTTTAAGTTATTCTTGCATGTCATCAGTATTTTGGTTTCATTTGTAAATGCCAGTAAAGGTGCCTTTGAAACCTGGTCTGGCACAGACACAGTCAGAGATCACACACAGTCACTTTGTGAAGCTGTTTTCTGCTCAGAGAACCAAAATGCAGTCAGCTCTTTGTATCTGCACTTTTTGTATATACGGACCTAACCAACTTTGGATTGAAAGTACTCGGGGGAGGGGGGAGGGAATCCCAGAAAGTTGAATTTGCCATGTGCTGAGCACTACATGGAATCCACATGAATGCAGAGATGGTGGGCACAGCCTTGCAGCCCCTGTGCAAATACAGGTTATATGCAAGTACCACGCCATTTTACATACGGACTGGAGCATCCTCTGACCTGGGTGTCCACTTGGGGGTCCTGGAACCATCCCCATGGGTACTCAGGGACAGCAGAGCCTAAGAGGTTGACAGATAACATTCGAAGCATTTGGAGAGAATCAGGAGACAGAAGCTGGCCGCAGGTTGTTTGGAATTTTACTCGTTGCCTTATCAGATGAATAACATACTTAGATGTCGTTTTAAAAAAATATTTTATTGTGGTAAAATACACATAACATAAAATTTACCATTTTAACCATTTTTTAAGTGTACAGTTCAGTGGCATTAAGTACATTCACACTGTTGTGCACCCGTCACCACCACCCATCCCAGGATGCCTTTCGTCTTGCGAAACAAGCTGCCCCCATTAAACACTGCGTCCTCCCCCAGGCCTGGCAACACCCGCTCTCCTTTCTGTTCTCAGTGTGGCTGCTCTTGGCCCCTCATGTAAGTGGGATCATACACTGTTTGGCTTATTTCGTTGAGGTAATTCCCTTAAGGTTCATCCATGTTGTAGCATGGATCAGAATTTTCTTCCTTTAAAAATATGTTTTTATTGCAGTTGACATACAATATTCTATCAGTTTCAGGTGTGAAGCATAGTGGTTAGACATTTATATACCCTACACAGTCTTCACCCCAGTAAGCCTGACACCATATGTAGTCACTGTGGTATGATTGACTGTGTTCCCTGTGCTGTACTTTATATCCCCGTGGCTGTTTTTGTAATTGACAATTTGTACTTAGATACTATTAAACTTGAAGGGTTTTGTTTTTTCGTTGTTTTCTCAAACAACATACATTGCTGGGAAAGTTGGGCAGGAGACACCCAGCTGAAATTCAGTGCTTAACCCGATGCATACTGCTAAAAACGCAGGTGTTTCTTTTGTTGGTTGAATCCTGTCTGATTTTTGTTCCTGTGTCATTTACCTGCATGGAGATGAAGAAAGCTCCTTTTTATTAAATAAGCTTGAAAACAAGATGAATGCACTAGGTTCTTGGGTAGAATGTATTGGATGGCTCCCTTTATAATGAGCATTTAGAAATCTGCCCTCCTGAAACTGGAAAAAGCATTTTCTCCTGTCCGGAAAGCAATATAGTACTGAAATATTCCTCCTTAATTTTGGCCCGGACGAACAAAAGTGTCTGTGTTTATTCCTGCCTAATGCATCACAAATCTGCTGACATGCTAACCTTGGAGTCTTGGCTGGCGTTAATCAGGCCTGCGCACCGGCGGGAAAGAGGCACCTAATGCGCTCCATCAGTGCCGCTTGCATATGGACGCTCTCACAGGGGAGCTGCCCGTGCCAGCTGAGGGTTACCTGCCCACTGCAGTTGTTGTATGTAATTATCGAGCCAATCTGTTCAGCCCAGCAGGGCCTAGATGGTAATCACGAGGCAGCACTTTGGGGAAGAAAGGATATAAGGCTCGGCCCCTCCTCATCAGAGGAGGGCACGGCCACTCAAGCTCTTCTGAGGAGGAGCACCTCTGCATGCGAGTCTGCTCCTCGAGTGCCTTTATTGAAGCCCCCTGAGTGTTAGCGAGCCATCATGCTTGTGCTAGTGAGGCCTGTTCTTTGGGGACATGGGGGATCTGCACCCTCGTCTTTCGCAGCTGCCTTAGGAATCTGTTGAAACAGTGGGATCAGTTGTGATACATAGATAACAACAGTTCTGACCATTTGGAGTTTTATGGTAATGTGGTCTGAGTCAAGTTGGGCTTCCTGTGCAGTTCTCTTTGGAACAGAACCACGGCCGCCATCAGGAAGAGGAGCAGTGTGCTGTCAGCAGGTATTACACTCATAGCCACACGCAGAATGGCCCCGAGCAAGGAAAGTTCTCAGATGAGCTTTAACTTATGTTAATTGTTAGAAACTACAAATGAGGACATTCTGATGCCTGGTGAATCTGTGAGATTTGGGAAGTATCAGATGATTTCCTGAATGGTACACACTTATTTTAGGTAACCCAGAGAAGCTTTGAGTTAGAATTTGCATTTTAACACATTTAAATTTGAGACTGCATGGGATAAAGTTATGCAAAATGCAAAGTTTTAAATTATTCCTAAGGTCCTTCTATAGTTACACTTACATATAGAGATGTTAAGTGGTTTAAAAACTTTGCACAGGAATGAACTAGTTAGAAAATGGTGTAGTGAGGGAAATAATAAAAGGGAAGTGAACGAACAAGGGGAAGAATGGGCGGTGGCACCATGTAACTCTTAGCTCCGAAGCCATGCTCGTCTGGAAAAATAAGTAGAAAACAGAAAAATGGTGGAAAACCCAGCAGGTTTCTGAGATTTTAGGAGAGCTTTGTAATTTTAAGATACTCCCTTTACAGTAAGGTTTATGGTCCTCTTGAACTTTTAATAAAAATATTCCAAAAGAAACCTCCCCTCACCCCCTCAGATGCACATTGTAAAAATGAGAGAAGTATCAGTGGCCTCAGAGAGTGGTGATATCAGGTTTATAAAACACTTGGCGTTAAGAGAGTTTCTGTATAATCAGTCCTGATGGTTAAAATGAGGCTATCAATGATGAATATGTGAGGCATGAAAGTTAGAAGTGAGTACAGCAATTGGGCCCACCATTTAGACTAACTGAATAGTTGAAGGTTCTCTAATCCCATTGTCTTCCACCCTTCCCTTGGGCACTGGCACCCACTACACTGAAGTTGCATGCAGCAGCCCCCCATCTGCATTTCTCTTTCCTTGGTTTCAGTTACCTGCAGTCAGCCATGGTCTGAAAATATTAAATAGGAAATTTCAGAAATAAACAATTCTTAAGTTTTAAATTGTGCACCGCTCTGAGTAGCATGAGATCTCTTGCCACCTTGCCTGACACGTGGATCAGCCCATTGTCCAGCATTTCCACCACCCGTAGTCACTCAGTAGCCATCTAGGTTGTCAGATCAACTGCCGCAGTTTCACAGTGTTCGTGTTCAGCTCACCCTTATTTTAATAATGACCCCAAAGCACAAGGGTAGGGATGCTGGCAATTCGGATATGCCAGAGAGAAGCTGTCAGATATTGCCTTTAAGGGAAAGGCATGTAAGTATAGGAAAAAATGTAATACACTATTATATAGGATTCTGCGCTGTCCGAAGCCTCAGGCTTCCACTATATAAATTCGTATACATACTAATATACAGTGAGGTTATATATTTACTTACTTGATCATCAGACCACATCTTTCTCTTTTTAAATTTTTATATGTAATAAGCGAAAGAAAGCAGCTGAGAAAAGCACAGAGGCGAGTGTTGAAGAAATGGAATGCTCAGATGCCCAGCCGGAAGAAGCGATGCAGACGCGTAAGTCGAACAGTCTGAACTGTTACCTTTCTCCATGTCTAAACACAGATTTCCTTTCCTTTCACTAAACAAGGGTTTAACTGTGTGGGTCATCACATTTAGATTTTATAGTAAAATATTGTAGAAGATCTTCTGTTTGTATAATGTGTATCACAGTGTCTTGTACACACATTGTGTAATTTACTGTTCACAGTAATCATGAAGTGGGGACCAGGAGCTTCTCTCATTTTGCGGATATGGAGCCCAAGACACTGAGCATTTAAGACAAAGAAATAGCGTTGCCCCCTGGCCGGGTGGCTCAGTCAGAGCACCGTCCCGTACACCAAAAGGTTGTGGGTTCGATTCCTGGTCAGAGCACATTCCTAGGTTGGGGCTTAGATCCCCAATCCCCAGTGTGGGCGCATATGGGAGGCAACTGAACATCGATGTTTCTCTTTCTCTCTCTAAAAAATCAATAAACATGTCCTCAGGTGAGGATTAAAAAAAGAAAGAGTCGTTGAGAAAGGGTTAGATGTAGAGACCAGAACTCCTGACTCTCAGGCAGGTCTTTCCATTCCCACACACCTGACTGGGGAGGGTGCAGGGGTCGAGGTCGGGTCCTCGGTTCATGCACTTCCCTCAGCCACCTGGCTCCGCTTGCCCACACTTCCTGGTGGTTCCCCACAGAAGGCCAGCCCTTCTTTTCTCTCAACTAGTTCAGACGCAAGGAGTTAAAGCCTTGAACCGTCATTTTCCAAAGCTCTTGAAGCAAAAAGCAAGGTGTGCAGTCACTAGATGGCTCCTAGGCTGGTGCTGCCATTACTTCCGTGGGGAGTGGTTCCAGCACTAACCTGAGCTAGGGCGGTGGCGCACAGGCCAGACTGGGTTGGTGGGCCCCCTCTCTGGTGTAGGCAGACCTGTGGGTGCCCCAGAAAAGGGAACAGTGTGTCGCAGGTCCGTAAGACATGATTGACTAGACTCTAGGAAGAGAGATTCAACGCTGGCTATAGTACCATCTCTCCTGTCTGCCCTTTGTTTATTATTTTGTTGGTCCTAGATTTCTAATGGAAAAGGCTTATTTTAGGTAAAATTTCATTAAAGCATGAGCTCCTGATTGAGACAGGTCAGTGGTGTATTGTGCCCCCCTTCTGACATGGCCCCTGTGCATGCTGTGGAAGGCAGAGATTTCACTTTCAAGGAGAACTGTCTCCTCCCCTTTCATCAGCATTTTCTTCGTTATATATTATGGATAGAACATCCTTAAGATGATCTGAATTTACCCAAGAGAACACTGGGGTATCTGAAGAGTGAATGTATAGCTCACTCTGGAGCCCCAGGTTCTGAAGCCTCCCTGTCTCTTCTGCTGCAGTCCTCCATTCCCCACTGTTTTCCCTCCGCCCCTGTCTTGTTCATTTTGTTGTTAGGAAGTGAGGAGTCCGGAGGAGCAGTGCAGCGAAGCATGTCTCAGCCAGAGGCTAGCAACAGCAGCTACGACAGTGAGTGGGAGCAAGATTAAGCAGCATTTATAAAGTAGAGCAATAAGCTTACTTTAAAAAACTCCCTAAATTCTGAAACTGGCCGAGTTAGGTTAGCAGAGGTCCTGCATTCTTTAGTACGGTTGACACCCATTTAGACCAAAGGGGATTCTCAGAAGTGCCCGGAGGAAATCTCCGCCTCTCTTAACTACCTCATTGTTACCTGAGCTCTGCTTACTGGGCATCGGAGGTATTTGTTTTGATACATAAATGATTTTAAATTTGACTGTAATTACAAAAATGTTTGTATACCTAAAATTTTAATTGAAGGTCCTTATACTGGTAGTTTTACTGTGAGAAAATGTATTAGTATTTTTGTTTTATTTAATAATGACAAAAGAAGAGAGTAGATCCCATTGCCAATTTAAGGGGAGCAATCCAGGTATCTTTGGAGATGAAAAAGATTATGAATCATCGGATTCTCCCTTTCACGTAAACTCAGAATTGCTCTCCTTAAGTAGTGCTGGCTGTCTTCTCATTGTAATTCACGTTTTCCCTAAAATATAAGGGTAGTGAAGGCATTTTACTATTTAAATATTTAAAAATGGGAGAAATACCACCAGAGATGGTAAAATAGCCCCACAAAAAAACAAGAACCCACAAAAAAGCCAAGGGGTCAGGAAAACGTATATATTTGTATTCATCGGTTTAAAATAACTTGAAGAAGGCACATTATTATGTTCGAATTAAAAAAAAAAAAAAAGTAATCCAGTTCACTGAATTCTGCTTTAGAGCTCTCAGGTTGTGTCATAAACGTGTTTGAAGAATGCTTACCTCTAACAGCAGCTTTAGAAATGTCAGTTTCTTCATTAACAATTTTATTTTCAAACACAATTTATGGTTCACAATATGGTGAGAGATTTTTCTCACTGTGTGATCTTTCAGAATGCTGTGCCTGGCAAAATGGGAGCAGCTTTCCTTTAATATCTATTTAGACCACTTTAAAAACGTGTATAATTTTCTTGATACACCTCAACTCATTTCGACTAGTCGGGGGTCTATTGTGTGGGAACACATTCGGAAAGCTTTCAAATGTGTATTATGTAGGTTTCCTCAAAGAAAGGGGAGGGGATGGGGGGGTGTTCAGGAAGAACAGAGTCCTCTAATCCTTTTATCTTTATGCAAGGCATAGTTTTTACCAATTGAGGAAATTTGGTTATTTGCTGCAAGTAATTTCTTTCCCCCACAAAATGACAAGCCTTAGAAAACCATGTGTATTCCGGTATTTCAAAACCGTGCCAATATTTCAGAATTGGACTAAGAATTAGTCAGTGGCGCCATGATATTTATGGCTAGTATTGAATGGTCAGTACACAACAGTTGTCTTGCTGGTGTTTTTAGTTTTATTTTTGAAGTACCTTGGATTTGGACCATTCTTGAGGATTCTTTGATGAAAGCATGTTTTATATTTACCTCTTGAATATCTACGCTCTAGTCAAGAAAGAGATATTTTTAAGGGCTCCCTACACAGAAATTTTCCACTTGTTTTCTATATTCTGCATCATTAAAATTGTAGGAAAGTACCCCCAAACTTGTATATTTTATTTTTCAAATATTAACTTTTACACATAGTAATTTTGTGAATTGGAACTTTTACCAGTATTAGTGTATTATGAAAATCAGTATATATTTTAAAGAGATGAGAAGAGAAATAGATTTTTTTCTGCAGCAATCAGAATTGATTATAAGGAAAATATTGAACTGATAGATGCAGCAAAGTGTTTAAATTGCATAATACTGATTATATAAGTAAATTCCAGGTGGTGATGGCATTGAACTTTAAGTCTAGATCGGAGGGGATGAGCAGCAATGGTATTTAAGAGCGAAATGTCAAATTAGGACGTTAATGATACAATACTACTTGAACAGGCTGTAATTGTTGCGAACTTCAGTGTCCCTAGTGTGTGACTGCAGATTCACAATTTATTGAAAGGAGGTGTGTTGATTATTGACCTTGATCTCGTGATCCCATTTTGCCAAACTCAGAAGATCACAACACTCTCAATTATCTCTGCCAAGTTAATTTTGAAATTCTTGAAATAGAAACCTAAAAATCTACCATGAGATACTTTTGAAAGAAGGCTGTATCACAGAAATTGAAGAAAAAACTCACAAGTTTAAACCAGCCATAGTTATAGGCTATGCATTTGAGTGGCAGAAAAAAAAGATTATTCATATACGTTTGAAATTTGCTTTAATTTGGTGCAGCGATTTTCCACCTTTGTCATCTCATGGCATGTATAACCTAATTACTAAGGTTCTGTGACACACCAGAAAAGACATTTTTTGCTGATCTGACCCCCCCCAAATAGGTCTGATTTTGATTCATTCACACCAGACGGCTGTTGTTATGCTGGCTGCTGTCATTTTTTTATCTGACAATCTAAGGGAAAAGAGGCCAGTGCCCAACTAAACAGTCAGGTTTTGCATGTGTTAAAAATTCGTGCGGCGCACCGATTGAAAATTGCTGATTTAGTGTATGGCAGTTGAATAGAAACTAGAACTTGGAAAAATGGAAGGAAAAAAAAACCCCACTAATTTTTAAACTGCTGATCTTCCAGTTAAGTGACTAAATAAATCTGTAGTCAGAAAACCTTTAGACAGTATTTATTAGACGTGTGTGATAGACATTTGGTCCCAGATTCAAACAATGTTGTGTATGTTTCAGAAAGGAAGTATTGATCTCTGTTGTTTGGGGGTTCATTGATTGATGGTGAGCTGCTGTGCTGGCCCTCACCCTGGTGCCATTGCTCTTCCCTGGCAGAGCACAGCACTAGGCATGATCAGCCTTAACTGTGTCCTCTGACTCTGCTGCGCTCTTGTGGGAGGTGGCGTGGGGGTGGTGGCTGGGAACACAGTCTCCTTGGTGAGGCAGCACTCCCTGCCCTCGAAAAGAATCGCTGATTTATTCCAACCCAGGGACAGTCTGAGCAAAACTGTCCTAAGTTACTTAGACTAGTATCAGATGTGATGCTTTTCTAGGGGCCGCTCAGTTGGGATCTGTTTGATTCCTAGGGAGAAAACTTTGGGAATAGTCCAGTGCTCTCCTGCCTAAGGAGCACAGGTAACAGGTGTTAAAAGGCAGCACATTCAGAATAGAATTTCCTGCTTTTCATAATATCCATAACCTCAGCAGTTCCCCCAAGAAAGTGAGTACTTGCTTTGTTGCTATACTTTATGTCAGATTTGATGTTTTCAGTTGTGCAAGACAATTTTGGGGAGAAATATTTCAGGAGCAGTGTGAATTGGGTATGCTTTACCAGTGGAAGAGTTCCGATGGAACTTAGAAGGCCGACTTTGTTAGCGTGTATATATATATAT